TTAATTCGCTGTAGTTTAAGTAAAACAAGCGCGAAGACGGACACTTTCGTTAGTGGAAATGCTACTTCAATTTTTTATGGGTGTGACGTCATATTAGGCCACAATGGAACATTTTCGTGTGCAAAATATGGAGCCCCGTACAAGTAGGCAGGCAAGCTTGTGCCATTGCGTTGCGGGTTAACCTCACGATCAGGCACTATTCCAGTTCCCGTAATGAGTGAAGAAACGTAACATGACCATTGCGTAAGAATATAAATACCCAGAGCTGTACAGCATATCTTTTTTACAATAAGGAGTTTTGCTATATGCATCTATATAATCCAGCGACCAACAGTAACAAAGGGGATGGGTCACTCTGTCTCATACAGCTCATAAGAGCGTGAATAGAAGCAGTCACTTTCAATGGCATACTTTGGGGCCGTCAACACAAGTGATTGTGAATATACAGTAAAAATGTTTTATTTTCATCCCAAAATATGTTTCGATGTACAAACATCATCATCAGGTGGTTCTTATGAACACATATGTCGTTAATGAATTATCAAAATGGATCCATTTTTACGTCTATCAATAATACAGGTTGATTCTAAATACTGTTGGGGTTTCCGTGGTCTATAATTTTCAAACCGGAAATAACTAAATAAAAATACCTACGGAATATGAAAATGTAACTCAAAAAGTTTCATTATTTACAGAATTAATACTGCAGAATACTAAGCAACTTTCGAGGCACGTAAGATATCCAAGCGGTGTTCAGTTTCCCTCAAAGTATTCTTCTTCATTTACGGTGTACCTGTTTCGACCACACCAAAAATTCTGGGCTACAGTTCATCGAGGGAGGTTACAGGGGTCTTGTAAACACTCAAGCGTAGTAGTATCAGGTGAACACGGAGGCCACGGAATTGGTCCTTCCTGCCAATCTTCATTCCACCAATTGCTCCACAATCACCCTCACCTATCATCTGGGGCTGGTAGAATAGGCCAGAAGTGGCCGCAGTACCCCACTAACAATAAAAAAATAGGTACCATAGATTGGCTTCGTGGTTTTTGATGTTGTTTTATGTTTTTAACACGCGGAAACCTGGAAAATAAACACGAATGCATATGTATTTTAAATATCATAACTATGTGATTATGTTTTGTGGTACTTATGTTCTTTTTGATGTGTGAAGGTGATTGGTCGACATGCGGAGTTCGTGATTCTGCAGGTGAATATATTTTTTGTCTTGTAAAGACAATCTAAAATTTTGAGTACGGAGGTCTTATTAACTTGGATCTTCATGCCTATGTAATTGTGGATTGATGGGTTTAACTTTGTATCTTACTTAGGTATTAAATACAATGGTGTGTACGTAGGAAGCTATTCTGTGTGGGTTTCTCAGCTGCCGGGTCGCTGTAACTTAGATATTTTTATATCTGACTGTATTGTTCACATTTTCTTGCTTTTGTATATATAAATACTTAGGGTTTTGTGATGTGTGTGGCTGAGTATCGGGAGATGACTCAAATACGTGAGCGGATTATGAGTCGGTGTTGTAGATACTATGTGGGTATGTTGTGTAAGTTTTGGTCACGTGATGGGATGATAAGGAAGTGGATATGTTGGTGGAGATGGGGTTGATGGGAGAAGGGGTTGTATTTTTTTTCTTCGGTTTGTGGAATTATTTATTATATTGCATCAATGTGTTTATGACTAAATCAAATATGGGATCACGTGTGTCTGCAAATGTATCATTCGCTGTTTTTGAGGGGCAAGCTGCCGACAAAAACACCTTGATACATTTACGAAAATGACGACACCCCGGGTGAGGTGATATAATATGCAACAGAAACTTTAAAGAATTTAACTCGTTTTACTTAAAAATAAGTTCTAGTAAAATATCTGTAACATAAAAACACCTGAAGATGGCCGCTTGGGGCCGAAACATGTAGTGTTGAAATGTAAAATGTAAAAGTGTTGCAATTTTGACGGAAGATAAACAAAGAACACAAATGTGAACAATTGCAACGGGATGCTGAAATGCAGAATCATGGAAGATCTCATTTCGATTTTTTTTTGTTGTAAATTTAGTTAAGTATTAAAGAAACTTATAACACATACATATTATGTTTCTGGACATTATCAATCTTCCTGCTTTTATCTAAAACACGGTCCTTTTATATTTTCAAAACACGCTTCGGAGACTTGATTCTGTCTCCGTCTTCAGGTAAAAGGGGTTAGCTCTATCAATTGGGCCCAACTGAGTAGGTTTTACCTGAAGATGGAGAGAGAATTCAGTCTCCGAAACGTTGTGTTTTGAAATATAAACAGGACTATTGATAATATCCAGACACATAATATTTGCATTAATGTACCATCGTCATAAACTTTAGATCAAATTTATAACATATTTTTTAGTATACAATTTAGTAACCAGTTAAATGACTTTTGGTCCATCTTGTATAATAAATCTAAGTTGTGATGGTTCGAGAAATCCGTCCAAATTCCCGGGTGGTCCATGGATGGAATGTTGAAAACGCATGTCAACACTGTTTGGATAAGATCTCTTCTTTCCATCTGTCACACGAGAGAAAGCTACTGCAGCCGATTCCATTTACAAACAAGATCAATGTTAACAATGAAGGCCATGTGCTAATTATGGCCACGTGAGGATACACCAGCCCTCGTGTTAAGTAGGTGTCTTCGTTTCAAATAAGAACACACTTTGATTAAATCTTAATGGAAGTGTTTAAGCACTGGTCAACCATTAAATACAGCCACTCGCATTCATGCGGGAAATATATCACTTAAAAGTCCTCAGAACGACCCGAATAATTTACATTTCCTGGTCAAAACTGAGCTCGATGCGTTATCCCAGCTATATCTACCTTCTGCAGAAGTGAGATGTGTAATTAAGATGTTTATATCAGTTCAACTATGTTGATTTCTATTCTACTTTGACTTAATGTTGCACAGCCTGACAGGAAATTACGCAAGAGAAGAGAACATTTCTGTAGTACTACGCTTTATTGCATTTGTTTGTAGCCTCTGTGGTCTAGTGGTCAGAGTTCCTGGCTACAGTTCCAGAGGTCCTGGGTTCGAATCCCGGGGCTACCAGATTTTCTTAGAAGTAGTGGATCTTGAACGGGGTCCACTCAGTCTTGTGAGGATAGCTGAGGAGCTATTTCAAGGAAATAGCGGCTCTGGTTTAGGAAACAGAAATTAACGGCCGTGGGAATTCGTTGCGCTGATCACGCGACACACTCTATTCGCTAAAGTTGGCACTAACTTCGCCAACAAGCGGCGGTCGCTCGGTCTGTATAGTTCGCTTGCCGGCTAAAGGCACGGAGTTTTTGTTTCTTTTTGGAGCTTATTCGACGATATCAGTAATTTCCCAGATCATACAGATGTTACTGTGAATCATGAATTGGAAAGGATGTGAAAGAAAGCGGTCATGGCCTGACTTGAGTTAATCCCCGTAATTTCCTGGAAGGGTTGTAGAAAACCACGAAAGAAGGTTCTAAATAACGAATACAAATTGTTCGAATTCCTAAATACGCTTAAATTAATGGGCATTCAGGCCTCGAAATTTCTGACAGGTGACATTAAATTCTCGGTCTGATAATTCGAATGTACCAATATTTGATACTGTCAATTTTTTATATTTTAGTAGAAATAAGATTTTTCATTTAAACCAAGGAACATTTCCAAATTCTTTATCATAAAGCAATAAATGGTCAATTAAATTCCAAGTAACCCCGTGGAACAGAGGCCTTCTTGATAGATTAATAGTCGCTCAGTTGAACAACACTACTTCGTGGTCCGTAATCCGCAGGCGAACTATACGACAGAGCGATCGCCGCTTGTTGCCGAAGTTAGTGCCAACTTTAGCGGATAGAAGGTGTCATGTGGTCAGGGCAAAGGATCCCCACGGCGGTTAATCTCGGTTTTCTAAACCGGATCAGTTGAATAATAATCCCGTCATCTTTATGAAACCTTACGGTTCATTGCTGCGTTCCAAAGAGCCCACCACTGGAAGACACACTTCAGCCACACGAATCATGTCCAAACCCCCAATCCTATTTCTTTAACATCCAATTCAATATAGGTAGTCTCATCTGCGCCTAGGTCTTCCAAATGGTATAATCCCTTCAGGTTTCACGATTAAAAATTTGGAAGCTTTTCTCATCTCCTCCATGCTCGTTCCATGTCCTACTGGTCTTGTGATCCTTGTTCTGATCAACATAATAATATATGACGCAAAGTAGTGTAACGTGGATGGACAGAGCGTTGCCAGGTAACTGACCGTTGGAACACCTCGCGACCGAATACAAGCAAGGCAACAATAGGGAGCACGGCGTTTTCTATGCGGTACACGTCGTGACCGCTGTAATGCAACGTTGCTGTAAACACTTCTCTACAACAATATAGGCTGTTTTCTTTGCGTGGTCGGTGCGGAGGCTATACAACGAGATTCCAGGAATAACCAAGGAGTGTTTCAGAGTATTTCAGACGGCTTAAGTGTTTGAGTGTTTAGGTGACAGTGAGAGAGTTCACGGTGGAAGATATCCACGTGAAGTTCGTCGTGTGAAGACTCGAATTATGTGTAATACTTGGAGTGATTTGAAGCGCTAGTTTCTGTGTTGAGATCCATTACCAAGAGAGGACTAGTGCGTGTAACAGTGAATTACGAAGTGTGTGTAAGTCAGCGATAGTGCTACAATTTGAGTGTAATTGGAAGACTGTGTAAGCAAGCTGCTAAAGCTGCTAATAAATCCAATCATCCGAACTAGAACCCGTCATTCTCGTCACACGTACCACCATACACGTGACAGTATTATATACGTTACGACTAGCATAGGAACTGTAAGCTGCAGAACCAGACAATTATTATTCAAACAGAAAGAGCAATTTAACGTTCGTGCTTTAGATTTTTCCTAACTGGGCGATTATCAGCTTCTCAAGTAGGACTCTGTTCCATGCAGTTAGTGTTCATAGTATTACCGAAAAAATTACTCACCGTTCGCTATCATGAAGACTCTTACACAGGGTCTAGAATGAGAAAAGACACGTAATAGTAATTTCACACTTAATCTACAACTGTAACATACATTTTTAAAACAATATTACGACTGTCAATATGTACAGCCGAACTGACAATAGCAATTAAAGCCTAGAAGTATGGAAATTTGATTCATGCTGCTATGTCTCACGTTAAAAATCTTTGTGGCAATCATGTAGATTGATAATCAATATTTAAACTCACTCACTCATGTAGCTGAGCCCTTCTTGAGAAGCCACCAATTGTTCAGCTACTCAAGAATTTCCTATCATTTTATGGAACCCGAAGGTTAACTGCCGTGTTCACAAGAGCTCTCCACTGGTCCCAATCCTGAACCAGATCAACCCAATCCATACCACCCCATCCTATCTTTCTAACATCAACTTTAATATTGTCCATCCACCTACATCTTGGTTTTCCTAGTGGTCTCTTTCCTTCTGGCTTTCCCACCAATATCCTATCTGCATTCCTCTTCTCCCCATTCGTGCTACATGCCCTGCCCATCTCATAATCCTTGACTTATTCATTCTGATTATACTTGGAGAAGAGTACAAGTTATGATGCTTGTCTCAAGCTAGGAACATTTAAATATTTTACACGCTACGTAACTAACAAAACTAGAATGTTCAATAGTTCCGCACTTTCTTCTTTCCTGGCTGCATAATCAGTATCATTGTCCACTATCTGGCAATGCAAACACACAAAACCAAGTCTAACTTCATGCATTAAAGAGAAATAGCATATTTCAANCAAAATTTCGAAGGATCCCCCCCCCAACGAAAATCTGAACTGGCACTAGCACTCGAGCCCAAGTATAGGGGCCGAATGGGTCACGTGTATATTTTAGAGGTCCCGAAGGAACGATGCTCATTCTTCAGAATTCCCTCTAACAGGCCGTGAAAGCCCACAGGGTTTTGAGACGTCGAGGCTGCCACATTTTCTCTAGGTAATCAGTTCACAGATGGTGGCGAGGTTGTCAGTCTTATGCGCCAGCCGCCCTTTACACCACAAGAAGATTCCTGGTACCCATTTCTGTCAGAGGCCGAGCGGACCCCGCTACCGCGTGCCCCGTCAGAAAACTATTAAAGAGCTCGATCTATTGAATTTTTATTAAATTACACAAATATCATAGATAATAACGGGTCAATTCTCAGTGTCATTGGAGAAACCATCATCGGCAAAACGAACATGGCGGCCGTACCATCTTGAAGGGTGGAACAACACTAGCACCATTAACGGCAAGTCTTGATGTTCTGTATGGCGATATATCTTTGCGGAATATTACATTTTTATTGGGGCACGCGGTATAGCAGTTGGTTGAGACACTATGCTACAAGCCGGAAGTTCGAGGGTTCGATTTCCGATGAGTTCACTGAATTTTTCAAGTGACCTAATCCTTCCAGCCTATGACCCTGGGTCCGCTCAGCCTCTAACAGAAATGAGTATTAGGAATCTTCCTGGGGGTAAAAGGCGGCCGGCGCTTAAGGCTAACTACCTCACGCGACCTGTGAGTAGACTGTCTAGAAGATGTGGGATCCTCGACGTCTCACAGCCCTATGGGCCTCCATAACCTTCTACAGGGATAGCTTTACTTTTTTTTTACATTTTTATTAACGATTCAAGAAACGATGAAATTAAAAGAATAGCGAGCACGAGAAATATTTTGGTATGCAGCCATAAACTGATGAACCGACATAACTTTACACGTGACAGGCGTACCGTGACGCTTTTTAATCACTGTTTCGTTGGAGGGGGGGTTATTTCAAGACGTCAGTAGCTAAGCTATACAGTATCCCATGGTAAGATGAATGAAAAACTCCAGAGGATTTGGAAAAAAGCGACGGTAGCATACTCGAGGTATAATCCCGGAATTTGCTTCGAAGCGAGAACCCCTTCGATTCGAGTCTAGAGCGTTGCTGCTATGCCATCCTGCTCTGTGTTCTAATCGCATCTAATTCTAGTACGAGCTGCAATGTATACCACCCTTAGCATTTTAACCACTTTTTAACGGTGTCATGGGATACGGACTAACCATAAAATATCATGGAAATAGCCGGATACTTGAGAATAAAAGTCGCAGACACTATAGAACACTCAAGCTTCAAATTAATGGATCGAAACTTTTAATTGTATCCAAGAATGTTCTGTCAGTCGTAGAATGACTCGGGTAGCCTGCAGGACCACAGTGAATAGTGTATAATAGTAAGTAACTGTGGGTGGCCTTTATATATGTAAAACGCATCAAAATGGGGCCCACGTATTCTTAAATGAATATATATCGTGAGACACATACATCTAAAACACTGCGCAGAAATTTAAAGACAGACAGATACAGGATTGGCCCTAGCTAAGATATTTATTAACTAACGGATTTATTGTCGACTCGACAGCTTGGATTATTCATGACTGTGAACATATTAAATACATAAATAGGTAAAGTTGTCCCTGCGTTTAATTAAATAAGAACCACGCCATGAAGACTTATGAGGTAGTCGAGGAATAGCACCACAATTCTTGACCTCAGCACTAGATGGTGGTGAGTGGTCAGCCTTATGCCCCGACCGCATTACCCCCTGTATCCACTGGATATGAGGCTCAATTTCAACTCTGCCTACGTCTCAGTACCAGTACTTCCTCTATACCAACTGTAATGGTTACAATGATATGACTCCATCTTATCAAATTATGACATTTCCTCCTCATCACTTGAAACAGTAACACTGCACCCACCAGATCTGGTCTCCTTCTGATGAACAATACAACTCGATCCGGTGAGGTTGGCATCAGCGAGAGGCGGCTTTATGTTGCACGTCGTACCACGCAACTTCCCGCATTCAAAAGGTTTCATACAATGAGATTTCGTTTTGATTTAATACCAGACTGTAGGCTGAAAACGTGGATTCGATCGGAGTGAAATTAGGGGACAGATTATCCTTCGAAGTGGATACAAGTAGCAAGTTCATACTAGTGATATACTCTCCAAATGCATTCTTTGCTATTTTATATACTTCATTGACCTTGTTAATTTGTTGCAGTTACAAATCTCCTTTTGTAAGACCAACACAATTCATTACACAGAGCGAAAATTTATTTATCTTCGGATTTCTTTAAATATTCATCACATTGAAAAATGGTTGAAATAATGCTGTACGTCTTAATGAGATGTATACTTTACATTGTGACGAAATAATCCACTGCTAGGTAACGGATTGTTAAAACACGTTTCACGGCAACGAACACGCTTGGAGGAATCAAAGCGTAGCCCCGAGATTGAGACAAGTTTCGTGGCAGGGAAGAACAGAGGAACTGTAAAATATGGTGACTTTTATGAGGGCCACGTGGCAGTTATAAAAGGCAGTGGATTCGTGAATTCGTCAGAGGGAGGGAGAGAGAGAGAGAGAATAACAGACGTCGTTCAAGGCAGTCAGAAAGTCTTACGTAAGGCCGTTCAATATTTAAAGTGTTAACCAGATAAGAATCGTTATCAAGCAACGGCTAGCAAACAGACGTTGAAGACTTTATGTGTTATAGCAATAACTTTAATTGTTTCTTGCATCCTGTTGTGTATTTAATCAATATTAGAGTCAATTTTACCAACCACACAACATACTTTTATTATTATTACACTGCATGTTTCGACCTCAAGAGGTCATCCTCAGGTGTACGAACACAGCTGTATAATTACACGCAATCACATTCGTCTTCTCACTTATTCGATCCTGTATCTTATTCAGGCCCACGCTCAATAATATATCAAGTTCCTCTCACAAAACAAAAGTTAAAATATTATTCTAATGTCAAAAGTTAAAATTTTAAAATTTTTGTGAGAGGAACTTGCTATATTATTGAGCGTCGGCCTGAATAAGATACAGGATCGAATAAGTGAGAAGACGAATGTGATTGCGTGTAATTACACAGCTGTGTTCGTACACCTGAGGATGACCTCTTGAGGTCGAAACATGTAGTGTGATAGTAGTAAAGGTATGTTGTGTGGTCGGTAAAATTGACTCTAATATTGTTATAGCAATTTTCAGAGTGTTTGTAATTAACTGTAGTTACGAATTGTGAGTGTCCAATAAATATATTACTCTAATTCAGAACCCATTATTATTCGTCACGCTAACCAGGAACATGTGACAATATCATGTGCCAATATTTAAGAGTTCTTTGCAGAGTAAAAGTGAAAGCCTTATATGGAGATCATGTCTGCCCGTCTGCAACCTAAAATCAAGGCCTAAACAATTGTATAGGTTCTCTTAAAATTCTGTATGATCCACTAAAGTCGTCAAATTCCGGCTTTCAGCCATATTGTTCCATATAAACGTAGTTTATGTAAGGCTACGTTTGGCTCCGTCCTTGTATACATCATAAACTATGTCACAAATACTGCTGAAATCCGATACGGAACGCTTCCATCAAGAGTTGTTGGGAAATCCGAGTTTCAGGGCACACTGGCTCATAAAAAACCTACAGTTTGCATAAGGCTACAAATGGACTGGCCAATATATCCCTTAAACATTTCCGCAGACTTTCTTCAAATTCGATACGGGAAAAAGCTAATTTACATTTAATTTTTCCCATTTTAAATCAAGATTCGTGAGCTTCAAAGAATGCAAATGGCCATATTCTGCATTACACAATGGAGTACGTCTTTTCTCTTCTTTACTGTACAATGAGTTATTTTTAAGGACTTATAAGAGTCTGATTTGAGCGTCATGTAACAAATAAGTTCTACAGAACTAATAGAAGCAATAACTAAATTGTCAGCTAATTGAAATGTAAATTCCCAAACACCAAATTTCATCTATATCCCTTAAGCAGTTTCGAAGATGGAACACGACAGCAGATATTTCCATTCCAAGCACTTCGTACAAAGCTCACAAAACAATGCGCTGTATCGTCAAGTGGAGGGAACCACAACCTGAATAAAAAAGAGTTGAATGCACTACAAATGGAAGCACGCAATTAAGTAAGATCTTCACAAAGGCAA